GCCCTGAGAGCAAAAGATCAAACGGCAACATTACCAAGGCGGCCACCTATCCATCTTTTGGTTCTTGCTTCCTTTTGACCTAGGCTTCCCCAAAAAGCACGAGGCAGAGTCTTGGTCCCGACAAAACCCCCTTTGTTAAAAGAATGTGAATCCCTCCCATTCACGTTAATCAAGGCCTGGCAAACTGTCTTTCAAAGGAGTAATTATGACTACAGACCTCATCTATCTGGGAAAGCTGCCATGTAAATATTTCCCAAATGAGGGGCTGTGCAAGGAAAGACTGGGCACAGAGTCTCTGAGATTCACGGACAGATCTTCACACTCCTGAAATGAATCTAGCGACCGAACAAACAAATTGTTTCCTGGAAAAGCCCACTCTCCTCTTTGATTTCCTATGGGAGGGGCCAATCACCTTCCACCTGTGACTTTACTCCCCTGATTTCTGAGTTGTTCTTCTCTTCTGGCAGCTCTGCGCATGCGCACACTGGGAACAGGCTCCAGCTGTTCCTCTGCCTCACTGCTGTCTAGCTCCGTGGGCACCTGATCACTGCCAGACAGCCTTGGCCCCATCTCTGCCTCTGATGCAGAGCCCTCATCCGAGCCTTCCCCAGCCTCCAGGACTGGCCCATGCTCCTTCCCAATCTCCTCACTGACCAACTGTCCTACCAGCACCACTGGCTGCTGGCGGGCCACAACAATGGCTTCGGTTGCTTTAAATTTCAGGATGAGGGAGAATGTGTGAATGTAGAATAAAACCTCTCTGGAGCAGGTCAGTGGTGGTTCTGTGATTTAGTGAACTTGGCTATAACAGAATTGAGAATACACAACTTGCGACTATAATTGTTCACAATTTGCAACTAGAATTGAACCTGCTGCTTACAGGGACTTGTAAATTAAGTTAGTGTGCGGCCATGCACAATTTTATGACCTTTTTTTGTTGTGGTGGTTAAGTGAAACCATTGTTCACTTTGGGGCAGTTTTTTTTGCCAGAAACCAGAAGTAAAAACTGGTTTCTGGCAAAAACAGAGAGTAACTGCAAGACACTGCAAAAGGCTGTGCTGTGCTGTAATTTGCCTCCTTGCAGCAAACAGTGAACAGCCTGTTTCAGTTTCATCTTCAGCACATCCTGATTAGCATAAGCAGCTGGTTGCTGAGTGCCCAAAGAGCATGGATATTGGATCTTCAAATCCAGATCAAAAGAAGCTTTTTTTCTGGGTCTTTTGCCGTTTTTACAGTTGATAAGTGATCAGTTGTAAGTCGAGGATTACCTTCTGAATTTTCTCAAGCAAGCCTCAATATAATTGCTGCCTGAAATGGCTTACTGGCCTCCTTTAGCACTAAATGCAGCTGACCACAGACAAGCTTGGTTTGAATTTGCCTCTGTCCAGGTTGCTTTCCCTAAAAACAAAACCCTCAGAGCAAGGAGCAAGGATTTCAAAGAATTCAGACATTACAAACTCAGCGACACCAGTTGTACTTCCAAAGATTTTTGTACAACTAGGCTGGCATTTCCACATGACTTGGGGACATACCCTCTCTAGTACTAGCTGGCTGGGGAATTCTGGGAGTTTGACGTCCACAAGTCTTACCAACCTTGCCAAGGTTGACTCAGGCCTGATATACTCCATCTTTCCCAAGTTCTGAATGCATTGCAAGACTAAAACTCATCACAACTGGCACTGCTTGTTCGACCACATTTGGAGTCAAAGCTTAAGGCATATTATTGAGAAGTAGCAGAGGCAAGGCACAGGCAGGGAGGTTGAAAAAAAAACCCAACCTGGTGTAGGAAGTTGGCACCCACCCCTCTCCTAGGAAAATGAAATATTTTAGGAAATATTAAAAGGGCAGAATGTTTCCCCTAAAAGGGAGGCAGAAATTCAGCCCCTCCCACCTTTGTCAATGGCTCATTAAGGCCTGAGCTAGTCTATTCTACATAACAAAGATCTACCTCCTTCAGGCAGAGCCATAGTAGGAATTCCCCAAAGCCCTTTGTTTACATCATCACCCAGCAAGGCTCAACCAAGCTTGGGACTCAGGGCACCTTATTGAGTTACCCCTGCATAGCCCCGTGGGAGTCTGACAACCAATCAGAATACAAGCTCAAATTCAAAGCCCAACAGAGGGTATAAATCTNGACGGCACCCGGAGGAGGCCCAACCTGTGCAATCTTGTTGGTCGTTGGGAGGTAATCTCTTTGGTGTGCTTGATAAAAATTAACATTGAGCCTGTTTTACCACTTTCACTTCATGTCTTCACTGCCTCAGGGCAGTAGAGAATTGTGCTGCTGATACAGCTCTGATTGACTGGAAAATCCACAATGTCAGGGTTCCAAATAACATCCAAAATTACCTTATTTTTCGGAGTATAAGATGCACCAAGGTTTTGAAGAGGCAAAGAAAAAAAAAGTTTTTGCACTCTGCAAACCTACCAAAAACAGCCCATTTTTCGTGAACACGGGCCCGTTTCCCCCCCCAAAAAAGGCATGAATAGCCTTTAGGGGGCTTGCAAAGTACTCCTGGGGGGGAGGGAAAAGAGCAAAAAAACGCCCATTTTTTACAAAAACGGACCTGGTTTGCATTTTTAAAAAAAGGGCATGGATAGCCTTTAGGAAGCTTATAGAGTGCTCCTGGGTGCTGGGGGGGGGGTTTAAAATTAAGCAAAACACTGATCATTTTTTGCCCATTTCTGCCCTCCCCAGCCCCCAGGAGCTCTCTGAAAGCCGCTTAGAGGCTGTGCATGGCCATTTTGGTGAAGGGGGCAGGGTTTCAGGAGGCAAAAAAATGCTGTATTCAGTGTATAAGACGCACCCAGATTTCCAGCCTCTTTTTTGAGGGAAAAGGGTGCGTCTTATACTCTGAAAAATACAGTAAATCAGAGGCAAAGTATCGCTCAAGGTTCCAATTTATTCATCTCTTAATAAATTACCTCAGCTAATTACCTCAGAGGGCCTTACCTAGGTTTCTGGCTTTCACTTGCACATACTTGCTTAAGGGATCAAAAATTGGAAGTGGTGTTGGCAAAGGGAAATACTTTTTGCCCTAGACGGCGCCCTTCGGGTATGTGCACATTCGGTGGTTTTAAGTAAAGCCAAATGACAAAAGAAGATAGAAAGGAAGATAGTTCTGATTTGGCGGATGGGTAGAGTTATGGGAACTGCAAAAAAAAAAAAAATCCCATTCTTGTCTCGCCACAAATCTCCCTTTTTAAACACGTCACTTATGTTGGCAAGCCAAAGGCAACAGAGCAGGACACCCTCTTGAGTTTCACTCCCTTTCTTCCAATCTACCCTCTGAAGTGGGTTCATAATAATGACAAAAAGACTCCTTCAGCCAATGCCAAATTAGGGCCAGGATGGCTGCAATCTGAATTTAACTTCTGGAGAGCTGAAAACAACAGTGTGGGAAGGAGCAGAACGAGTACAGCTGTCTTCACAAATTTAGACACGGTATAATTTTCTCATTTGCTAGATGTGTGTTTGTGTGTGTGTCTTTGTTTTTGTGTGAAAGCTGTGCGGGGATTGTATTAACGGCCTTTTGCTTTTCCGGGGCACAGAAATAAGAACTCGGAGAGAGAGAGTGAAGGTTTTGCTGGCTTCAAAAACAGCATCCTCTTTTTTTAGTACAATGTGGCCATCTGGCACAAGGCATCCTTTGTTAATCCAACGATGATCATATCTGCTTCAGGCAATAGCAGAACATGCCTGCGCTGCATCCCACATCTGTCCAAGCAAACAAGCTGTAGAAACCTCTGCAAAACACAAGACTCCTCAGAGACCCAGTTAATATGGAATGAGTCCCCTTGAGACAGAGGCTGAGATCATTCATCAAAGACGCTGATTTCCCTGGAATCTTGGGTCCCTTTTCATTTTCTTTATCATGTTCTGTTTTCTACCCTGTTT